ATATTAATATAATTGTACTTTAGTATATAATTATAATGTAATATATATTATAGTGTAATATATGCAATGATTACAAGTAGTGTATAGTATATTAACAGCAATACAATACAAGCATAATTATTATAACTACACCAACAGACACAAATAAAATATAACATCAGACTCTCACATTTGTGTTTTACAGAAAATACCACCAATGCCACTATCTTCAGCTTCTCATCCCCTTCTACCTTAATGTTTTACCTGGCAGTGTTCAACAATAAGTGACAAACGCGCTCACCCATTTGCATTTTGCTTCATGACATACTCTATGCTATTTTTCCGCATTCTAACTTTACTGCTTTATCCCATTTTGACTGTCCCTTTCATTAAAATATGAGCACACCAGCTATAGTTAATTTCTCACTAAATAATTTTTTAGTATGTGTGCTTTTAGTATCTTTATCATGCCAAAGTATATTTCACCTGATTTTAAGCACTCCATATTTTCCTTCCTGCTTTTGTTATTTTAAGCAATCACACATTGCTTTTAAAAGAACCGTCTGCTCTGCCAGAACAGCTTGTCTTTCCTTATTCTCAAAAATAATGAGCCAGGTTACTTTTTCATATTTTTTTTTTTTTTTTTTTTGGAGATGGAGTCTCGCTCTGTTACCCGGGCTGGAGTGCAGTGGCCAGATCTCAGCTCACTGCAAGCTCTGCCTCCCGGGTTTACGCCATTCTCCTGCCTCAGTCTCCCGAGTAACTGGGATTACAGGCATGTGCCACCATGCCTGGCTAATTATGTACTTTTTTTTGTTTTTTTTTTTCTTTTTTGAGACGGAATCTCGCTCTGTCGCCCAGGCTGGAGTGCAGTGGCGCGATCTCAGCTTGACCCATCGCGCCCAGCCTTAACTCTGTCTTTTACTGCCAAATTCTACCCTTCTTCAAGGACAAGGTAGAAGTTAAGCAGTGACTTTAAATGGAAAAGAAAAAAAAAAACCCCAAAATACACTTGTTATTAAAAGCAAACTCAATTATTATATTAATATAATTATGCTTTAGTATATAATTATAATGTAATATATATTATAGTGTAATATATGCAATGATTACAAGTAGTGTATAGTATATTAACAACTTAATACAATACACAAGCATAATTATTATAACTACACCAACAGACACAAATAAAATATAACATCAGACTCTCACATTTGTGTTTTACAGAAAATACCTGTGCCACTATCTTCAGCTTCTCATCCCCTTCTACCTTAATGTTTTACCTGGCAGTGTTCAACAATAGAGTGACAAACGCTCACCCATTTGCATTTTGCTTCATGACATACTCTATGCTATTTTTCCGCATTCTAACTTTACTGCTTTATCCCATTTTGACTGTCCCTTTCATTAAAATATGAGCACCAGCTATAGTTAATTTCTCACTAAAATAATTTTTAGTATGTGTGCTTTTAGTATCTTTATCATGCCAAAGTATATTTCACCTGATTTTAAGCACTCCATATTTTCCTTCCTGCTTTTGTTATTTTAAGCAATCACACATTGCTTTTTTAAAAGGGCCGTCCTGCTCTGCAGAACAGCTTGTCTTTCCTTATTCTCAAAAATAATGAGCCAGGTTACTTTTTCATAGAGCATATTTGTTCCGCTTTTTCTGCGACAGATCTTCATCATGGGCCTAGCACCATTTTGCTGTCCTTTTCCTTCACAGTTCTATAAGAGTATGTAAGTCAAGACCCTTCTCCTACATTCATTTTCAAGAGGAAAGACTTATTTCAACAATAACAAAATAAAAGAGGGTAAAATTGGGGTGAATTGTATGCACACCATTTACCTTTACTTATAGGAATATGTTAACGGTCAAAACATTTTAGCTGCAACAATTCGCGAATTGTATTCAACTCACAATTCAGGGTTTTGACTTTCTTTCCCCAGGACTATGTTTTAAAGATACAGAAAAATAAAAGTAATGGAGCTTCACTCTTGTACTTTATAGATGATAATCATGGAGAAAATATATTTCTATAAATTTTTTATTACTTCAAGCACACCAAAAATCTGAGAAGAAATATTTCCGAGTTCAGATTATTTAGATCAGATATAGACAGGATATCAACTAATTTTTGATAAAAATAAAAAGCAACGGTGTATGCAAACTGAAGCCAAATTGTAGTCATATAACATAAAAGAAAGTGATTTTTTGGTTTTCTTAAAAGTGACATTTTGTAATAAGGATAGTGAAAAATATATATTCTTGGGATTTAAAACATCTTATACATTTAATGTTTCTTTTAAAAGAGACTGATGTCTTGTTACTTTAACAATAGAAACTGTCCGTTTTTAGTAGAAACAATGATCAGGTCAAGGGGCAGGAGATTTGGGTTCTAATCTTGCTCCTTTACTGACTACCAATGTGATAGAGAAAGTTGTCCAGCTTCTATGAGTCTCAGCTTTCAAATATGCAAAATGACTGCTACCGGCTGAATTGTGTTTCACTCAAAATTAACATGTTGATGTCTCAGCCATCAGTACCTGAGAATGTGACTATATTTGGAAATAGGGTCTTCAAAGAAGTAATAAGCTAAAATGAGGTCATCAGGGTAGGCTTTAATCCAATGCGTCTGGTGATCTTATTACAAGAGGAAATTAGTAGACACATACAAAGGATAGATGATGTGAAGACACAGGGAGAATACAAGCCATCTACAAGCAAAAGGAGACCTCAAAAGAAATCAAACCTGTTGTCATTTTAATCTCAGAATTGTGAGACTAAATTGCAATTGTGAGATTAAATTGCTTGTAGAATAGTAAGAAAATTAATTACCGTTGTTGGAGCCACCTTCTCTGTGATACTTTGTTATGGCAGCCCAGCAACCTAGTAAAATAGGCATTATAAGTTTTATGATGATTAGATGTAATTATGTGTGTGTAAAGCATATGGTACACGGTAATTGTTTAGTGTGTGTTAATTAATATTGTTGTTTCTTCTGCTAGTATTTTTCCTGGACACATCATTTATAACTCTTATCTTTACCTGATCTTGAACATACAGCAGTTCTTTGCTGGTAGGGGGAAAACAGTAATTCAATTCATATTACATTTCCCTAGCATGGTTCATGGGACCTGTAACTTCACACTTTCAGATTTTGGAGTGAAAGCAGCCTTGAGATTGTGTCATTTTCTAGTTATGTCATTATCTGTACTTAATCTGTCTTTCAGTTTTGCATCTAAAAAATGTAGATAATTATAATTGTTTACAGGAATAAATTCATATATATAATTAGTACTTGATATAAATTCTTGATGAAGAAACTGTAACTATGATTTTTTCAAAAAATAATTTTTTTTAACTCTTTTCCAATCATGCTTGAGGCCAGGACAGCTTCTGTGGGTTTTCCCTGTGTCTCTCCGTGATACCAACCTGTCATTTTGCTTTATTCAGGAGCCCATCTATGTCTTTCATGACTTGATTCTTACCGCCACCCACAGCTCATGGACTTGCTTCCCTACAGATGATGGTCGTCCCTGCCCAGGGAAATTATTACCTCAGCTGAGATGGCATTTTCCAAAGTGTACTGCCCTCAACATTTGTTATTTAGGAGATTAAAATGATGAAGAAAGATATTAAATTTGTGTCTGTGTTGTGACACTTTCAAGTATGGTGACACTAAGCATTAAGAAAAAAAGAAAAAAAGATGATTTATTAAATAGCATCTCAGAGTTCTAAGCTCATGTTCATTTTGAGTATTTTGGTTAGGGGGTAGATGTGATGAAGGCTTTCCTCAATTTATTTGATGATACATTATTTTTTGGTCAATTATCTGTAAGAATCTGTATTCTAGATAATATAATTTGGGTAGTTGTGGCCTAAAGAAGGTAGAATTTTCTTAAAACCTCTCATTTAACTTTTTTCCCAGTCTCTGTTTAGGATTCTCTTTTTTTTTTTTCCCCCCTTTATATTGGCTTTAAATAGATATTTCCTTTTACTGAATAATCTATTGCCAGAAAATAATTTAATCTACATACCAGCTTATGGCTGTGGTATGTGTTGTCAGCATCATTCCAAGAAATAAAAAAGGTGGAGGGAGGCAAGGCACATAACAAAAAAGCGTTACATCTGTATTAAAAATTAAAATTTACTAAAAATCAAATGAGAAAAAGGAGAAGTTTACTTATCAGATTGGCAAACTGATTTATTTCAGATGTTCATGAGCATTTGGGGATAGGGTCACCTTAAAACACAGCTTTGAAAATATTAATAATATACCTTAATTACTGGATCTGGATTGTGGTGGGCCATTTTAATTTCCTTCTTTATGCTTTTCTGGAAGTGCCACATTTTCTACACTGAATATAATTTACTTTGTTCATCAAAATAAATTATCAGTTAAGTTTATGTGTTAACAATTGCCGTATGAGAAAAATATGAGGCTTTTATGGATCTTTTGTAAATCTCCTTATGTGAGTTCATTGGTAATATAATCCTGGCCAGGGGCAGTGGCTCCCCTGTAATCCCAGCACTTTGGGAGGCCCAGGTGGGCGGATCACGAGGTCAGGAGATCGAGACCATCCTGTGAATGGTGAAACCCCATCTCTACTAAAAATGCAAAAAAATTAGCCAGGTCCACTGGTGGTGGGCGCCTGTCGTTCCAGCTACTAAGGAGGCTGAGGTAGGAGAATGGCATGAACCTGGAAGGCGGAGCTTGCAGTGAGCCGAGATCGCGTCACTGCACTCCAGCCTGGGAGACAGAGCGAGACTCCGTCTCAAAACAACAACAACAACAACAACAACAACAACAACAACAACAAATAATGATAATGTAATTCCTATATTATTTTCTCAGTACATTTTTTAGAATATATAGAAAAGCTTGACAGATACTAATTCATACACATGCACATGTTAATACTAATCAGTATAACCTCAATTTTGAAATGACAAGGACAATATTATGAGGAATAGTCTTTGCTACTTAATGAGATTAAGTGGAAAATAAATAATTATCTTACCTGATAAGCAGTGTATACTTTTGCCCGTCGTCCACTCTAATAGCAGTATTAATGCTTTTAAATTTTGCTTCACCAGGACAGTAAAAGTGGTACTGTTGGGGAAAAAAAGTTTGTCCTCAGTTTTTCAGCATGAAATTAATACCTTATATTTGCACTGGACTTTATAATTTATCAATATATTTTACATCACTTTGGAGAGACATGAAGTTTGAAACTTAAAGAGAAGTGATAACTGAAGGTTTACAACTAGTAAGTCCTATAATTAATACGCACAAATATATGAGTATTATACAGATACAAATACACATGCATATATGTGTACACACGCATATCCAGATTATTTTCCAGTATTCTGAGGAACATGGTTGGGAAAGGCAACATTCTCTACTAGTAGAAAGCAAGTATTCTTGAAATCTTCCTTACTAACAGCAGTTGAGCAAGGCAAAGAGTAGTTAATACAATCTAGAGGATAATATTAATGTCACAGGAAGGGAAACTTTAAGATTGTGAAACCTAACCATTCATTCCAAGCTTTTGGAGATATCAGGGTGTCTGGCATTTGCAGAATTATTGCTAATGGCAACTAAGTTATGATCTACAGAGGAAAAATCATTTTCTGTATCAGGTATGATTAACCAAGCATCCCCAGGAAATCCATGGATGTGCTACAGTGGCTTATTAAGCTTCTTAGCAAGCATGTGCCTACATGTATATTGATTATACCATGTCTATTCTTTCCCAGAGAGGGGTTTTAATGTTTTTATTGTATCTAAAAGTGATCTATAACCCACGTGTTAAGAAACTCACTTGCATTGTGTTTCATAACATGTGCCCCTAGCTGTGTTTAAGTAGATACACCCAAATACGCTCACATGTAGTCCAAAGATAAAGATAATGTTATATATTTTAACTTTTTATGATATTTGGCAATTGCAAAAGACTTCTTTCCTTTATAAGATTATTTATTGTCAGCTGACTTTAAAAACTCCAATAAGAAGCATTAGGAGGAATTACTGGAGACTTGTAGGATTGTAGGTTAAAATAGTTTATGAAATAATGTATTACTAAGACTAATGGATAGCCACTGCTTTCCTGATCAAATGGGAAAAAAAATTAATTCACAATAGGTTCAATGAAGATATTTAGGAATTATAAAACTAATTAGTGAAGAGAGGTATAGAATTTCTTTCCCTTTGGTTTTACAAAAAGGAAAGGATATGTACTTATAGGTCTATAATAATTACTATTATTTACTTAGTTGTAGTAAGTTGTCAGTCTCCATCTTAAGAAAATTTAAGGTCATTTAGTCTTCAGTTAGATGATCAGAGTTCAAATCCCAGCTCTGTTATTTAGGAATTTTGAGACTTCACATGTGTTTTGTGCTAAAATCTACTCACTTGTAAAACGGGGTAATACAAATTTTTGTGTGGTTTAAATTGGTAAATGAATAAATATTGTGAAGTAAATATTACAGGTGGGCAAATAAGTCAGTCAAAGTAGAACACACAGAATTATACCTGGGACATAATCATATATGAAGGCTATGAGGTCTAGCTTTCTTTTGGCTCCTTCTCCGAGGCTGGAGTGCCATGGTACTACATGTATATGTATTATATTACTTCAGAAACATGGACATTTAAAGAAAATCAAACGAAGAGAATTTGCCTATTTAAATAATAAGGTATAACTCATTCATCCTTTCATGGAAATTCACAACATGTACACTTAAATCACATCATAAAAGAGATGGTAGGCCAAATGCGGTTATTATGTTTCATATATTAGAATTACATGAGTTAATTACCTTATTGTGCTGAGTTATTGCAATGATAATTGGGATGACTTCCCTAAACCAGGTATTCAGAGCAGGGATATGAGACAATTTGTTAAGGTAGAATGATGTTGGGAAAAGAGTATGCACTTTCAAATCAAAGTTGGTTTCAAAATGTTATTAGCTGCGTAATCTTGGACTTTTGAAAGGTTCTTATAACGCTTACCAGGTGCAAAGTCAGCAATCTCTAACTTTTTGATCTCACAGTCCCTTTGCATTCATAATAATTATTGAGAACCCCAAGGAGTTTTTGTTAACTGGGTTGTGTCTATCAATATTTACACTGCTAAATATTACAACAGACATTTTTAAGATACAAAAATACGTAATAAAATGATACATTAGCGATTAGAGCAAGGATATCATTGCATGTCATGTAGCCTCTGGAAAACTCCAGTATAAACTTATGAGAGTAAAAGTGAATAAGGCAAATAACACCCCTTGCCTACAGAAAACTTATGAAAACAGGTTTTCTCTTCAGGACCCTCTAAAGGAATCTTGGGATTCCTTAGGGCTTCCCAGACTATACCTGCCCTTAAGGTTATAAAAACGGTAACAATTATTATCATTGGGAAATTAAGAAATTGAGAAACTGCTCAATAAAGAAGTAGAAGTTGAAAATAAGTAGAAAAAAAGACAATGAATGTTAATTCAAATCATGTACTGTTTGAAATATTAATATCTAAATATCTATAAACTGATCTATCTGTATGAGTGTAAATTTTTCTCTGTATATTATATGAGCTTCTTAATGATTATCTCTTGCCTTCTAAATGATGTTCCAATTAGGTATATTTTCCAGAAAAAACTAGAGACATTTTGAGCAAAATACTCTGACAATTAAATTTTTTAAGTTTATAAATATGTGATTAATGAAACCCAGTTAGCTCATTTTTTGAATAAGTTCTTAACTACTTGATATTATTATGAATTTTTTTTCTTAAAATATACTTTGTTGTTGGTTCATATATATGTAGAAAGAAATTATAAAAGTAGAGGAAGAGACATCCTGGCTATCAGTATAAAATATAAAGTTTAAATTTTATTTTGAAAATAACCAATAAAGCACATAATTAGAACAACTATGTATTTTTTTAAAAAATTAAGTGAACCGAATAACTTACCTTTAAAGTACCATTTTCAATAAACAATTGAATAAAAAATCCATCTACTAAATTTGAGTCTTGTTTGACATAGAGCAGGAGTCCATAGGAGCTGAAGGTCTGAAATTCTAGGGAGATGTTATTTTGTGGATTTAAAACCACATTCTGAAATTCTAGATACGAATCTCCATAATAGGAAACACAACTGAAATCTGTGGAGTCAGAAAGAAAATACAATTTAGGTTGAAATAAATATTCAATACTTAGGTTTCACATTAACATAGGATACGTTTTCTCTAATGGCTCATACATGACTCTTTCCTGCCTCTTTCAAGCCCAGGCATTTATTTCCTTTGGAATAGTCATAGCAGTTGTGTCATGATTTCTTTGTATTTGATGGCTTCATGATGAAATCTTATTGTAAGGCAAGGAAATCAAGATGATTACTTTTCAACACTGCTTTTACTTAGATTTTATAAGTTAACAGAAAATGGCACATTTTCTAAATATGTACTTATTTCTTCTTTATATATGATATTGATACAAAATTATGATTAGTATTGTTAATAATTTGATTTGGGAGGTTTATGAGGGAATGCTAGAGACTGAGAAGCATAGAAATTGTTAACCTTTTGTATTAACACTCTAAATTATATGAGTTTCTTAACAACTCTCTCTTTTTCACCTTCTGAATGATATTCTAATTAGCTGTAGATTTTCAGAAAAAAATGAAGACACTTTGAGCAAAATATTCCACGATTAAATTTCTTACATTTATAAATATGTGACTAATAAAAACAAGTTAGCTTATTTTTGAATAAGTTGTTAACTACATTATGTTATTATTAAATCATTTTTTTTTGCTGGATAAATACTGGATTGATTGTTCTTGGCTAATGATTCTTGAAACGATGGATTTGAATATCCCCTTTCTTCCAATTCCTTTCTTCTTTTGCTATTTTCATGACCTCCCCAACTCAAGCTGTCTTTCTCTTTTAAAACTTTCGAATTATGTACTATTTATAACTACTAGAAAATATTATTTGTAAAACCACGTGAGTTTTAGTTTGCTGTCTATCATAGGATAATAATCATTTTTGATTCCGTACTTTAAAACTTCAAGAAATTTTATATCCTATATATGCTGTCTTTATTTTGAATTTTTAATGAAGTTTTAGAATTACTTATTTTGCTACGTTTTCAAACTTGTAACAATTTCTAAATAAATAATCAGCTAAGTCTCAAATTAATTTTTTTCACTAGAAATAAGAAAGTTCAAAATACTTCCAGGAAATATTTGCACTTCATAGACATAAAAGCATGTGTATATGTGTGTGTGTTTGTGTGTGTGTTTAATCAAGGACTGAGTGCATTAGTGAAGGACAGCTTAATGATTGAAAAAATAACAATGTCCTTTCAATTTTGTCATTCTAATTTTTTCAGTTGTTAAATGATAGGGACATATATTTTTTTTTCCCATGTAGAGTTTCAATGGTGATGTTAAAAGCATAGCATAATAACATTTTAAACACTAAGAAATTGTTTTAAAGATTTCTGGCATTTATTTTAACAAATTGAGAATAAAGCCATATATCAGTTTGATTTAAAGTTCAAATTGTGAAAGAGCATAAAATAATTTCAAAAATTAACATTACAACAAGAATATACCCAATATTGATTAAAAGAAAAAACTATAACATACAGGGGATCTTCCAAAAGTTCACATAAAATATGTATTATTTAAAAACTATGGATGAATTTCACTCATCATAACATGTCTGAACAGAATCTATTTTGAGTTACTAAGAAGGATAAGACATCTGTTTAAAAGTAGTCCCTATCAGTACAACATGAATTCTGCTAAAATTGAAGCAAGAACAAATATCAAATTTATGATGAAGCTTGGGTGGAAGAATGGTAAAATCACTGATGCTTTACAAAAATTTATGTGGACAATGCCCCAAAGAAATTCACAGTTTACAAGTGAAAAACTTGTTTTAAGAAGGGACAAGACTATGTTGAAGATGAAGTCCTTAGTGGCTGGCCATCTATATCAATTTTCAAGGTAAAAATTAATCATATTCATGCCCTAATTGAAAAGGATCAATAATTAACAGTAAAAACAATAGTCAACAGCATTGACATCTCAACTGATTCAGGTTACACAACTCGGAATGCAAAATTAAAGTTGAGCAAACTTTCCACTCAGTGGGTATCAAAACTGTTGTGCCCAGATCAGCTGTAGACAAGAACAGAGCTTTCAACTGAAATTTTAAACAAATAATAATAATATCTTGAAGTATGTCTTTGAAGAGTTGTAACAGGAGATGAAACATGGCTCCACTAGTATGATATTGAAGAAAAAGCACAAAGGAATGGCTATTAAGATGTGAAATTGGTCCAGTCAGAGCAAAAGTGGACCAGTTAAGATCAAACATCATTGATATGGTTTGGCTCTATATCCCCACCCACATCTCATTTTGTAGCTCCCACAATTCCCATGTGTTGTGGGAGGGACCCAGTGGAATATGATTGCATCACAGAGAGGATTTTTCCTGTTCCGTTCTTGCAAGATTGAATGGGTCTCATGAGATATGATGATTTTAATAACAGGAGTTGCCCTGCATAAGCTATCTCTGCCTGCTGCCATCCATGTGAGATGTGACTTGCTCCTCCTTTCCTTCCACCATGATTATAAAAAGGTATCTGAAAATGTGAAATCGACTTTGGAACTGGGTAACAGGCAGAGGTTGGAGCAGTTTGGAGGGCTCAGAAGAAGACAGGAAAATGTGGGAAAGTTTGGAACTCCCTAGAAACTTTTTCAATAGCTTTGACCAAAATGCTGATAATGATATGGACAATGAAATCCGGGCTGAGGTGGTCTAAGATGGAGATGAGGAACTTGTTGGGAACTGGAGCAAAGGTGACTCTTGTTATGTTTTAGAAAAGAGACTGGAGGTATTTTTCCCCTGCCCCAGAGATTGTAGAACTTTCTGCTTGAGAAACGTGACTTAGGAATCTGGCAGAAAAAATTTCTAAGAAACAAAACATTCAAGAGATGAATTGTGTGCTGTTAAAGGAATTCAGTTTTATAAGGAAAGCAGAGCATAAAAATTCAGAAAATTTGCGCCCTGACAATGAGATAGAAAAGAAATTTTTCTGAGGAGAAATTAAAGCCTGCTGCTGATCTTTGCATAAGAATGAGAAGCTGAACGTTAATCCCCTAAGATAACAGGGAAAATATCTGCAAGGGATGTCAGAGGTCTTCATGGCAACCCCTCTCATTACAGGCCTCGAGGCCTAGAAGGAAAATGTGGTTTTGTGGGCCAGTCTAAGGTTCTGTCTGCTGTGTACAGTCTAGGGATTTGATGACCTATGGTCCAGCTATTCCAGCCATGACTAAAAGGGGCCAAGGTACAGCTTGAGCTGTTGCTTCAGAGGGTGGAAACCCCAAGCCTTGGAAGCTTCCATGTGGTGTTGAGCCTGCGGGTTCACAGAAGTCAATAATTGAAGTTTGGGAACCCCCGCCTAGATTTCAGAAGATATATTTCATCTGCTCTGGATGCCCAAGCAGAAGTTTGCTGTAGGGGCAAGGTCCTCATGGAGAACATCTGCTAGGACAGTGTAGAAGGGAAATGTGGGGTGGGAATCCCAACACAGAGTCCCTACTGGGGCACCGCCTAGTGGAACTGTAAGAAGGCAACCATTCTCCAGACCTCAGAATGGTAGATCCACTGACAGCTTACACTGTGCACCTGGAAAAGCCACAGACATTCAACACCAGCCCATGAAGGCAGCCAGGAGGGAGGTTGTACCCTGCAAAACCACAGTGGTGGAGCCGCCCAAGACAATGGGAACCCACCTCTTGCATCAGCGTGACTTGGATATGAGACATGGAGTCAAAGGAGATCATTTTAGAGCTTTAAGATTTGACAGCCCTGCTGGATTTTGGACTTGCATGGGACTTGTAGCCACTTGGTTTTTGCCAATTTTTCCCATTTGGAATGGCTGTATTTACCCAATGCCTGTAGCCCCATTGTATCCAGGAAGTAACTAACTTGCTTTTGCTTTTACAGGCTCATAGCGGGGAGGGACTTGCCTTGTCTCAAATGAGTCTTTGGACTGTGGACTTTTGAGTTAATGCTCAAATGAATTGAGACTTTGGGAAACTATTAGGAAGGCACAATTGGTTCTGAAATGTGAAGATATGAGTTTCGGGAGGGGCCAGATGTGAAATGATAAGATTTGACTCTGTGTCCTCACCCAAATCTCATCTTGTAGCTCCCATAATTCCCACATGTTGTAGGAGGGACCTGGTGGGAGATGATTGAATTCGGGGCAGGTCTTTCCCGTGCTGTTCTTGTGATTATGAATGGGTCTTCCAAGATCTGATGGTTTTAAAAACCAGAGTTTCTCTGCAAAATCTCTCTCTTGGCCTGCTGCCATCTACGTAATATGTGACTTGCTCCTCCTTGTCTTCTGCCATGATTATGAGTCCTCCCCAGCCATGTGGAACTGTAAGTCCAATAAAACTCTTTCTTTTGTAAACTGCCCAGTCTCAGTTATGACCTTATCAGTAGCATGAAAATGGACTAATAGAGTAATTAAAAAAGATTTCTGGGGGATGCTCAAGACATTTTTCTTTTTGACTTTCTGGAGGGCCAAAGAAGGATAACATGTCCAAATTATTACAGTGTTTTAAGAAAGTTAGTCAAAGCTCTAGCAGAAAAATGCCCAGGAAAGCTTCACCAGAGAGTACTACTCCACCATGAAAATGCTCTTGCTTATTCCTCTCATGAAATTATGGGTAATTTGTGAGATTTTCAATAGAAAATCTTTAGGCATTTACCTTATAGTTCTGATTTGCCGCTTTCGGACTTCTTTTTGTTTTCTAATCTTTATTTTCCTTCAGTTAATAATGTAAAAAGGCTGCACTGACATGGGTACAGTCCCAGGACACTCATTTCCTTAGAGATGGACTAAATGGCTGGTATTATTGCTTGTAAAAGTGTGTTGACCTTGCTGAGGTTTATGTTGAGAAATAAAGTTTATTTTAAAAATTTTTATCTAATACCATTTTTCACAACATTTTGAAGTCTTTTCATATTGTTTTATAGCTTTTAGGAAGAAATATATCACCTGACAACAACAAACTCAAAAACTCCTTAATATTATTAAGATATGTATTTTATAGACTAATTTTTAAGAAATT